TTTCCAGAAATCTTATTATGAGTAGGAAAAAGAATTCTAGAGGAAAGATAAAAACGTGTAGCATCCATGATATGTTAAGGGACCTATGCTTAAAGAAAGCCCACGAGGAGAAGTTTTTTCGTTTCAGAGATAAAGATGACAGTTTTCCTGAAAGCATAAAGTATTCACGTCGCCTGTGTATTCATCCAGATATTCTTCACGAGGAATTCAAAGGTTACCAGTCCATGGGATCCTTGCCAGCAGTCCGTTCTATTTTAATTCAAGGAGGTTTCCGTAAACAACTAGATGAAAGCCAGATTAATGAATTAGTTGACGGAAAACTTTTTCCACTGCTCAGGGTGTTGGATCTTAAGCAAAGTGTAGATGGTTTCCCATTTTTAAAATTAGTTCACTCAAGGTACCTTGCTTTGTCCTGTTATGGGAAAAATACCATACCTAAAACATTACCTGATTTTCTTGGGTATCTACAGACCTTAATTGTAAATGGTGACGATGTACATCTACCAGAGGAAATATGGAGGATGACACAATTAAGGCATCTCCTCGTGTTCAGGAAGTGTTATTTGCCATGCCATACTAGATCACCAATAGCTGGGGAGAATTTTGTTCTAGGAAACCTTTTAACACTTTCAAAAGTGAGTAGTTCCAGCTGTACCAAGAAAGCCTTTCAAAGATTTCCAAATCTAAACAAGTTAGGGATTTCTAGGGACTATTTAGGTGATGAGATCTCTCTAGGTACTCTCGTAAATCTTCCTCAACTTGAGACCTTGAAAATCATAGGTAGAGCTGTAGTCCCAATAAATTTCACTTTCCCACCAAATATCAAAGAGTTAACTTTAGGCGATTGCAAAATTGCTTGGAAACACATGACGATTGTTGGCTCAATGCCAAATCTTGTAGTGCTCAAACTGCTATTTAGAGCATTTGATGGGCCAGAATGGGAGCCAACCGAAGGAGAATTTTGCAAACTCAAATATCTGCTACTTAGCGATATGAATCTAGTACAATGGAGAGCTGATGGCACTCACTTCCCATGCCTTGAGAGCCTAATTATTAGGCAATGTTTCGAACTAGAGGAGCTCCCTTGTAGTATTGGAGATTCAACGCTTCAAATCATTAAATTGGATGACGCTAGCCCTTCAGCTGTGACTTGGGCAAAGCAAATACAAGAAGAACAAAAGGAATGGGGAAATGATAGCCTTCAAGTTCATGTCAATTACAGGTTTCAACCCAACCGTCTACGGGTAAAAACGATTCC